ATATTATATTATATTATTATTATATTATATATGGCGAATATATATATATATATATATATGGAGATATATATATATATATTGGAGATATTTACCTACTATATATTATATATATATGGGAGATAGATATATACTATATAATCTGATAGGATATATATATATAGCTATACTATTATATAGAATATTATATATATATATATATGGATATATATATATATAGATAAGTATATTATATAGATATATAGATTATGGATATCTATAATAGATATTATATGGATATATATACATCTATATAATATGGGACGCATATATATATATCTATATAATATATATATCTATATTATAGTATATATATCTATGGGATTTGATAAGATATATAGATATCATACGTATAGATATAATATAGAGATATATATAGATATGGTTATATTATTATATCTATATATATATATATATGAGTATATATGATATATATTATTATATGTATATGGAGATATATAATATCTATCCTTATGAGCTATATAGATATAGGGAGATATAGATATCTATATATCCATATATATAGATTTGTTTGTATTTTTTTTGTATTATCGCTATATATATATATAGATATATATATATATTTTTTTTTTATTGATCTATATCCATATATTACAGATATATCTATATATATATATATTCCATATATATATATATATATATATATTATCTATTATATATATAGAATATACATATATATATATATATATCCATATATATAGATATATCCATATATATAGTATAGATATAATATAGATATATATCTATATATCTATATATATCCATATTATTATATATATAGCCAATACATATATATATATATCTATATATAGGAGATATATATATATATATGGCTAATATATATATCTTATATATATATATATATATATATATATATATATGGATTATATATATATATGGAGTAAGATATATATATATCTATTATTATATTTATATATTATACATGGATCTATATATTATATTAGGGAATATATATATGTATTATGGAGATAGATATATATATATAGTTATATTTTTAAAAATTTTAAATTAAAAATATTATATATATATATATATATAAATGGAATAATATATGATAATATATATATATTATATATAGATATATATATAATATATTAGATATATATATGGAGATATAATTATATCTACGGTATATAGGAGATATATAAAAATATACGGGATCTATATATACATATACGGATATACATATACATTATACGGAGATATATATCATTACGCGATAATAATAATATAGGGATAGTATATACATATAGGATATATATATCCATATACGGATATATCTATTAAATAGGGCTTATCACACATATACGGATATATTTTACACATATACGCTATTTATATACGGAATCTATACTACATATATGGATATATATATACCTATATATGGAATATCTATCATGGATTATATATAGATATATATATATAGATTATATGTATATATGGATATATATATATATGTGTGCTGTGTGGGCAGCGGTAGTGATCTCGTCTAGCATCTTGCTGACCTGCGTTCGAATCCTCTCCACAGTGGATGGTAACCACGGCCGCCCATTCCTTGCCCACAGGGATAATTTAGAAGCAAAATAAAACAGACGATGCACTACGATATCCCATGTAACAAATGGAATCAAACTAAATTATATTAATTTTATATATTGGATTATATATATATATATTGGATATATATATAGATGGATAATATATCACCTTGGATAAATATATATATTATATATATATAATAAGATAATATATATATAGCACCGCACCCCCCCACCATATATAGATTATTTATTTGGATAGATAATATTATAGAGATATATAGTATTGATATGGATTATAGAATATATGGAGCCCTATTATAGGGGATTTTTTTTTTTTTTATATATATTAAAAATTTAAAATATTTTATTTTAAATATATAATATATATATATCTATATATATATTGGATGTATACTACCCCCCGATCACCCCCCCGCACCTATATATGGATAGAGATATATATAATATACTATATGGATATATATATATATATATATATACATATATATATATATATAGATAGATAGATAGATATGGATATATATATATATATGTATATATATATATATATATATATATATATATATATATGTGGATATATATATGGATATACATATATATGGATATATATATATACATATAATTATATATATATATATATATAGAGAGAGAGAGAGAGAGAGAGAGAGAGAGAGAGAGAGAGAGAGAGAGATATATATGTACGTATGTGGTGTGCACATATCTGTGTAATTGCAGTAATACTAAAGACTTATTACAGAAATTGAATTCTTTGTTTTCTTTATATTCAACTGAACAGCAACAGACCTGTAAATGTCTTCTTTCTTCTGCTATGGCTTGTCTTTCTATTTCAATCTTCATTTGTTTCTGTGCAAAGCTCCATCTTTCTTTTTCAACCTGAAGGACCAAGACATGAAAAGTAACAATGAAACAAAAATACACTATGAAGAACAGTGATACAAGATATATTCACACAGAAATAAACACATTATTATTTGCATATTAACCCATTGCTGCCAGGAATGGCATGTACGTACATGCCATGCCCATTGTGAGTCGACTTGTTCGATTGTTTTTACACATAGACGGCTACACTTGTACTAAGTATCCAATGAGCCAATTATGAGTACTGCCTTTCTCGCCCGTTCACCCTTTTCATCGATTTATGAAAATATTTAACGTTATCCTAATTTGCGGTTAAAAATAACACCATCTATATTTATAGTACTAGTAAGAATACGGTATTTCCTGCCAATTCAAGGAAAGGTGAAATCAGGACAAGCAGAGCCATCTATGGACAGAGATATTTCACAAAAATATAAAAAATGAGTACTGCATTTCCCCAAATTTTTGTTCATTTTCCCCGGCGGCAATGGGTTAACCCATTGTTGCCGGGGATGGCATATATGTATATGCCATGCCCACTGTGAGTCGACTTGTTCGATTGTTTTTACACATAAATGGCTACACTTGTACTAAGTCACCAGTGAGCCAATTACGAGTACTGCCTGTCTCGCCTGTTCACCCTTTTCATCCATTTATGAATATATTTAACTTTATCCTGATTTGCTGTTTAAAATAACACCATCTATATTCATAGCACTAGTAAGAATACGTTTTTTCCTGCCAATTCAAGGAAAGGTGAAATTAGGACTAGAAAATGAGTAAAGCATTTTCCCCATTTTTTGTTCATTTTCCCTGGCAGCACCGGGTTAAATAACTTTTCTATTATTAATTTGGGGAGGTAGAGGTCAAAGATGATTATGTCGCTTTATCGATTAAATGTGCTGGTTATCAAGAACAACATGGATATGGGAAAATATTAATGGAATCAAATTCATGGCCAAAACTTACATCTCTACAAAGATGTGAAATATAGCAAAGGTATATGATGATGCTCATACTTATAATACAGAATATTTCTCTGATATAAAATGCTGATGCCAGAAAGATGCAATATTGACTATGTTTTTTATTACAATTATTAATTTAAACATATGTATACTCCAAATGCACTTCTTAACCCATTCGCGACAGGCAAAAATGAACAAAAAATGGGGAAAATGCTTTGCTCTTTTTTTATACTTTTTGTGAAATGTCTCTACACATAGATGGCTCTGCCTTACCTGATTTCATTTGGCGGGAAAATGTATCTTTTACTAGTGCTATGAATATCGATGGTTATTTTTATTATAAACATTATAATTAATATAACGTTATAAACATTAGTAACAGCAAAATAAGATAACGTAGAATATTTTCATAAATTAAAGAAAAGGGTAAACGGGTGAGACAGGCAGTACAAGTACAAGTGTAGCGATCTATGTGTAAGAACAATTAAACAAGTAAACTCACAGTGGGCATGTCACGTATACGTGACACCCGGCACGAATGGGTTAATCTTCACATTTACTCCATTACTAGAATTTATATGAAAAACAATCTCTATTGTTATTAATGCTGCTGTTATTAGAATTACCATTATCATTTTTGTATTATTAATATTAATTTTGTTCTGTTTACTTCTATTACCATATATTACTATCAAACAATTGTAATAAAGTAAAAGCTCCCAATAATTCAAGTAATGGCATAAATAGAGGAGGTCTGGCAGGCTTAGTAATTAACTACTTGGTGCCTGTATAACTTTATGCTAAAATAATAATAAAACAAAATCACAATGAGCAGTGTCTCTTTATATGCGCTCTTGACATATACAAATGAACATTTTTTAAAAGAGATATTTCTTCTTTAACATTTAAAGTAATCAATTTGCTTACCTCTGACCCTTGTTGAACTAAAGTATTTTCCAGTCTATGAATGAGAGCATTAAGCCTCCCTCTCTCACTTTCATTTTCTACCTGTGTAGCTGCAAGCTGGGCTTCAAAATCCTGTAGCTGTTTCTCCTTAATCTGTATGATTATTCAAATTTTGAGAAATGTTGTAGTATCAAAAGATACAGTACAAATATCAGGCAGGTTAGGTTGTATACTGTGACATATTTATAGCTTAAAATTTCCATAATTTCACAATGAGATATATATTCACAAATTTCAGTGAATCAAATGGAAATGTCAGCAATGAATACCAAATATTAGTAAAATTAGTGTTGCATCATTAATAAACCTGAATACTTTATTAAGGAACAATTATAAGATACATAAGCAATATGAATCAACATTTCATTAACAGATGATCACACAGCTGACAAACATATTAAGGAAGATATTCCATGGCTGGCAGAGGTTCAATATATCTCCTCACCTTGTATAGTAAAAGCATTGAGCATATCATAAATGTAGGTCGGGTTATTACAATCAAATAAAGTTTCACGGTAAAATACTGTTAGCATAAAAAAAAATT